ACCTCTTCCGTGTCCCAAGTCCCCGTCTTCGGGCAAACCTCACAGAACAAAAGCAGCATATCGTCATGTGTCATGTCGCCACATCAGAAGCGCAGGCTTGACTACTTTGACTCTGGCTCAGACTGCCCACAATACAGGCCGGCTCCCTAGTATTCCCTGAATATTCCCCCCAGTATTCCTCTTTCTATTCCCTATAGTATTTTCCTGGTACTCCCCTAATATTCTCGCAGAAGTATTCCCATCTTATTCGCCTAGTCAGTATTCCGTTAGTATTTGCTTGGTATGCCCTAGTAGTCTCTCAGGATTTCTCTAATCTTCCCTCAATATTCCTGAGTATTTCCTTAGTAATTCCCTAGTATATTCCTTCGTATGCTCCTACTATTCACCCTAGTAGTCCCCTGTTATCCCCTCGTCATTCCCTGGTATTCCTTTAGTCTTCTCTCGGTATTCTGGTAGTATTGCATTGGTATTCCCTTACTATTCCAAGGGATTCCTTTGTATTCCTTTAGTATTCCCCTGGCATTCCCTTTTCTTCCTTTGGTAGTCTCTTACTTTGGTAGTCTGATAGTTCCCTCAGCATTTCCCCCGAGTATTATCCTAGTAGTTTCCTACTTTTTCACCCATAGTACTTCCCCAGGATTCCCTTAGTGTTCCCCAAGCAATTTTTATTCTCAGTCTTCCTCTAGTACTCCCCCATTCCTTTAGTATTCTCTTGCCCATATTCCCCTTATGTTGCCCTTAGTCAATTCTTGGTATACCCCTTAGTATTCTCCCAGTATTTTCCTAGCATTCTCCCAGCATTTCCCTTTGCATTTCCAACAACCTTTGGTTTGAGAATTTGGCAATTTCCTCCGTCACTTGGGTTCCGGATCCCCACGAGACAAGAAGAATAGGCACGCTCCTGTTTTCCAGGAACGTTAATCTGATTTTGCTGAGCTGTTGATCATTCAACCATTTTGCAGTTTTGATGTACCATCAGACATGGTGCGAGTTGCTTGAAAGCCAGAGCGAGTTCGACAGATTGGTTGATGCAACAACATGTTCTAGAGTGGACCCCACCCCACCCAAAGGTGAGACAGCATGTTGGGTCAGCGGCCATTTCGGGTTGACTGGCAGCCTCTGTTTGAAACGCAGGGCAAACCATAGCCGTTGACCACATGTTGTTTGTCGGCTTGGGCTGTGACCTCTAAAATGCTTAGATCATGTCCTTGTCTCTTCAGACCTTTTTATGAGACCACAGCTTCCCAACGTGCCAATCATGGCGAGCATGCGCCTCGCCTGCTACAACATCTTGCCAGGAAATTCGTTTCTTAGCATCTCTCTGTCCAATCCCTCAAGCGATCTCGCGGCGACATCTCCTTGTGCAATTTCTGAGGTGATCTTGCCGGAAAACAATACTATTCGCTACAATCCATCAATTGAGCCGTCACGAGTGCCAACATAGAGTCTATCAGCAGTGCCATCAGAAGTGTGTTCGGCAGTACCGTCTCGTGTTCAAGTGACAGTGTCACAGCAATCAGAGGCACCATCGTTGACTCCTTCACGGCTGCCCACAAGTCAACGAAGCCGAGTTCCCACAACTACACTTTTTGATTTCGAGCTGCACCGAATATTTGGTAAGGAGTGAACATGACAAGCAAACACACGGGGTTGAAGATGATGCTGGCTCAAACTTGCAGGTGTTGGCATACAAGATGTAGTCACAATAAATTCAGTACTATCACTGAAATGTTTAAATGTCAATAATTTGTAGAACATGGTAGTATTGCACGTAGAATTGGACAAATTAGACATCATGTACTTTCCTTTTTGGATGCCGCCCAGGATGAACAGGTAAAAACAAAAATATACGTTTGGAGAGGACTTGGATGCTGCAAGAGGCCTGATTGTATACTCTGAGCCATCAGATTTAATTGTGGCAATGAATATTGGTTTGGACAGGCTTCTGAGGATGAATGGACAGGTATGTTTGGTGTTCGGGCATGTGTTAATTTCAACAATTCCCAAGCCGTCCAACACATTTTATATAACACCGTACTCGAGCGATTCAACATGTTTAAACAAAGCATAGTTGCTCTCACATTTGAAGCCAGTTTCCGTTTATGTATACTGAATAACTTTGAAACATGATTTTCAATCCGATTAGTTGTCAAGTCTAGTCTATCCTATCATCCCCCACACCCATCCGCACGCCCAAAAACCCAACACCCACCCATCCCCGCCTCGCCCGGCCGCGAAAACTCAAGCAGTACTTCCCAAGCAATAATTCTAGGTCAACCCTCGGAGAGCATTGGAGGCCTGGCTTTATGTTGTAGTGCATAACAACCCAAGCCTCCAGAAGGGGATTCCCTTCATAGTAAACTACCAGAACATGGTGCTTTTTTGCCAGTGTTTACTAGGGGTCTGGGTCAACATTCAAGATGCGAGACTGGCAGCTGGCAAGATCTGACAGTTTTGATGTTGTCTCTCAACCCCCAGCTCTGGCCGACGTTGAACTGTTGCACTGCTGACATCAGATGCCAGACATCCAGAATCCAAACTGGTCACCTTCTTGGCCGCAACTGGTGGCAGGGATCATATCATTCAAGAGATGTTCCAACTGGAATGTTTACACGTGGCAAGCTCCGGACATGCTGAGCCTTTTGCTTCTGCATTGGTCATTGCGCCGGATTGTTCAGCCATCTTTTGCGTCTTGAGTCCAAACGTGTTTTTTTGTCCGAAAGGCTTGCAGGCAGTCCAACTCATTTAGTGGCAGTTGCCTGGTATGCTTTCACAGGCCTGCACGCGCAAAAAGAGCGCGCAGTTTCCATTTCGGAAGCGCTGGTCAAAAAGCAACTCGATCCGAATCCTTTCCTCGGCGTAGCGATTTGCCGCCGATGCGCTTCTTTTTTCTCCGGCGGGCGGGGAAGCCAACAGCTGACAATACTACTGCCCTGGCGCCCCAACGGCTCGCCGATGTTAACCCAAGCTTCGCAGCTTTGGCACTGCCGCAACCTGAGAGTTTTTGCAACTTGACCCAAACTGACTCCCACCCCCCCCCCCTTCCCGGCGGGCCCCATGGAAAAGATGTTTGCTTGAGCAAAGATGCCTCATGGATTCCTGGCGGATGCTCCTTCAGGCATTCCCCCTGAGTCTAAAGTGCCTGCAGTTGAAAAGTTGGCATTTGGTCCAAGGGTACCTTCCCTTCCGCTATTGTTTTCATGCGTGTGGGCGGGTACCTGTAGGATCATTTGCCAGGGAGCCCCTGTGGGTAGACGATTGGTTTCAGCTTCCCTCTGGAAGCCGACAGGCGTGACTATCGCTTCCCGAGCGTTTCAGTTGCATACAATGGGGATTGCCTTGGTCTGAAAAGAGGGTAACAGGAAGATAGGAGGCTATGAAGTGCAGCAGACCCTTTCCTGGAGACTTCATTCGGGATTTCTGTCCAATTTCACGGGTGCTCCCTTCTCAATTTCGTGGAGAAACTCTCGAATCCGGACCCCTGGCTTAGTATACGGGACACCAATCATTTTAGAGAACCTTTGAGAAACACCTGTACATGGTCGTTGTTGAGAAACATTTAACATGTTTGCTTGTTGTGGTTTAGTGGGAAATCCCCAGTAAACTGCTAAAAAATATATTTTTGCTCCCCTTCCAACGTCAACCAAGTGCAGGCTTTGAAACTTTGCAGTTTTTCCTTGAAGGTGGCACTGCGTGAGCCGCGAAGATGTCTCTCGCTGGCTTCGGGGAAGGACCCACACGGGTTTCCTTCGTACCCTGCAAGCCTTGTCCTCAAGAAGGGTGTTCCATTCGAGGGCCCTACCATGGCTTGGTGCACAGGAACCCTTTCCAGGAAACTCGTTTTACAGCGTTGTGCACTTCCATGTTTGGAAGTTGGAAGAGTCACCTTACTTGTAAGCAAGCCAATAAAAGCTCCAATTTCAGGAACACCCATTTGGTCTCAACACGCTGAACAACAGCTGAGATTCTTCTACCTAGGGAAACACACAACAATGTTTTGGCCCAAGCAGCTTTGAGACTTTCTTGGGACAAAGCGAGCTTAAAGCGTTCAGGTGGCGACTGAAGCGTGGAAGCAAAAGGCCCCTTTGGTGCCACGCGGCAACCAATTGCGGCAACCAATTGCAGTTGATCAAAAGGTCCTTATTACATAGCATGACCATGGGTTGGAAAACCGCTAGACAGAATATATGTCCACTAAATCAAGAAGTCACCCATGGTCATTTGGGGCCTTGCACGGAATATTCATCAACCCCCATATCCAAAGCGTGGATGTCAGAGGTCTTAGCATTCAAATGGCCTCATTTGGAGCGATGAATGATGCGGTTTAGGTGTCCAGGGTGGGATACCCTGAAGCCCGGGATGGTTTTCGTTGGCATTCCGGCAACCTCATCCCTCAGTTTTGTTTCTGCATTCGGAAAACCGAAGGCCAGGTCCATCGAGTGTTTGGTTTCGAACTTGGTTTTTTCGAAACGGATGGGGAAATTTATGCCTGGATCGCCAGTTGCTGCCTTTTGTCCATGCACTTTACCCCAAAAACAACACAGCAACGGGGACTGAACCAAAAACAGCAACTCGGCTATCCAGGTGCTTCCGAGCTCGCCCAAGGATCGGCGCAGGGGCTTCGATCGAAATTCCGCATGGATCGCTGAAATCTCGTACTTGGCGATGTGTGGGTCATAGAGAGAGAGCCCTCCAGAATGGAGCAAAGGCGATCCTTTCGGTTTCCGTTTGCTTTAAAGCTTTCAAGCAACGGGCACCGGGCCCAAAAACAGACCCGTTTATGGGTGGGAGTGTAGCTTGCGCGTGCTCGATTGCAATCAGTTCCACTCTGCTTGTTGTACTGTTCGGCTCAGGGTGCGCACCGAACGCGGAGCGAGGGGGTCTCAATTAGTTGAACCTGCTTGAACCTATATTTGACCCTAAAATTTGAGCTCGACTGAGACGGCTACATGTAAAAGCTGACGTCCAATTCAGGTTTTCCGCACCAGGTTTTTGAGCCGGAACCGCCTGACCAACTGAGAAGCCGCTTACTTGACATGTGCGAGCCCTTGAGCTGATGTGGGCAGATGAACTTACAAGGCCCGGACCCGGCTTGGGGGGGTTGTGCTCGAAAAAGAAAGAAGCGCCTAGACCTGGCGACAAGGTAGGAACCCACATGGAATTTCTAGGCTCCGGTAAAGTAAAGGCTCAGATTGTTGACTCTGAGCCACATTTGGCACCATCAAGTCAACAAAAGTATGCCCTCAGAGGGATGATGGACTCACGTCTTGAGTTCCGTTTCGGACTTTAAACTCTTTTGGGGGTTGGTTGCCTTTTTATTGGCAAACAAAAGAGAGGTCCGGTCAGTTCGTTTGGCCCATCTCGATCGGAAGTGAGTGGATCGGAACCACATGAACGCCAGGCCATATGAAGCCTGCCTGGGAGCACCAGGTGCGAGTCGCGCGAGTCGCGCGACTGACGGCATGGAGAAGCCTGGGCATAAGCTCCCGGGATAGAGCCGCATTCGTGACGCACCCCCTCCTTCGGAGGCTCTTCGCTTCCGTCCGTTTGTTTTGGGGCCTCCCAAGTCAAGTGAAATAACTGGACAAGGGAGATGGGTTGTCCAAAAGAAGAATCTCAAGCCTAAGGTTAGCTGTCGATGAGAAAGGCTGAGGTGCTAGCCACCCTTGTTGAACCATTCCCCGCCTGCCCTTTGCTCAACATTTGGGTCTGCAGAATTCGTTGGCTGTCAGCACTTAGCACTTGGCTGGAGTCGCCAGTCTGTGCTTCCTTCACCAGAGACCTTTTCTGAGCTCCATAGACTATGTTGTTTTTGGTGTGCGCCTTGGCTTGTCTGTGACAAGTTGAAGTCAGATATATTGGGGGTGTGTTCCCTGTGCCTGCAGGTCTCTTGATTTTGAGAGGGCCTGTAATAAGTCACCCACTCAGTGCGGTGTGACGCCGGTACTCGCATGTGATGTTCAACTTAATCACCTCTCCCAGCTATGTTGATACCCTTTGTCGGAGCCATGTTGCCATGGAGCCCGACTGGAGGTTTTATCAGACAATGTGCAAAAGGACCCTAGTTAGTTTCCATGGGAGGGAGGGCATCCATGGTGCGCCCTTTGGAGCATAGTGTGCGCTCTTTGGAAACTTGGCAGGTTTCGGTACCCGAAGGAATGGAGGCATCGCTGATTGGCACCCTTTCTGGAATCGAGGAACAAGCCGATGGCCTTGGCGAAGTACCCAACGGGCGTTTTCTGCGCGGACAGAAAACTCACATTGGGCCTGAATCTTGTTTTTGGGGACCCTAACAAATGGTTGGTTTCCTTTTGGTTTCCCTTGTACACCACCAAAAAGGGGTACCCTCAAAACAGACACACCCATGCCGAAACTTTGGTGTCTTTGACCTCATTAAATGCCGCTCACCCGGAACTTCCACATGTTCGGTTTGCGTTTTGCCCAGATTGGCATCTCTTTGTAGCCGAGCTTGGCTGAACATACTGGATGGAAGAAATCCATTTCGTGCCACGTAAGAAACCCTGTGATTCTATTTCCTCGTAAATACCAACACACGTTATGGTTCTAACACGATTTAGCCATGGTTTCCTTTCGCGGCCCGAACGGATTGTGCAAACCATCCACAGTAGGACTTGTGGCTCGCTTGAGGGGTGTTAGACTTCCAGTTGCTTATAAGAAAATCTAAAGTATTGCTGCCCAGTTGCATTCTCACCAGTTCCGTTCTCACCAGTTGCTATGTTATTTTTCCCTGTTGGTTTTAAAGGGAATCTATCACTGGAACCGTTTCCTGTGAGCTGAGTCTCAGGCACGCCAGGCCACTCCATCGAGGGGTCCAGGCTCTTGGTGCAGGCAGTGCCGGCCTCAGCCGAATTGGCCCGAAAAATCCTCCATCCGAATCGACCCAAAGGTCGTACTGGGCCCAAGTGAAAGCAGTTCCAGGGTGCCCAAAATACATTGGGCCGGGTTCCCAGCAAGAGACTCTCCGCAACCCATGTGCGGCCCGGAGGCCTGGAGCGCTAAACCCTTCAACGTATTTGTGTCAGCTGGTTCTCAACATATTTGGTGGGCTGGGCTTTCGAGGGGCAATTTGCTTGGGTTGACCGATTTGATTGGTTTCTGAGGGAAATTTGACCGGAATTTGACCAGTTTCTAGGGTTTCTGGGTGGGATTTTGGGAAAGTTGCGTCCGGTTTCTAACACACGGTCATGAATGCCTTGAGGCTGGGCGTGGGCTTGGGCCGTGAGGGAGTTGGTGCGACATGGGTCGGGGGAGCAGACGTTGTGCCGCCATAAATATGTTAAACTGAAAGGTACACACTACTAGCTTTATTATCCTGGGGCCGAGGCGTTTTTATTTACATACGTAAACGTATCAAAATTGGATTTCGTGACAGGCGCAGTGCTTTGAGTGCTTTTGCTTCGCTGAACCTCGCCTTGCACGACACTTTGGAGCGCTGTGATTTTCGTTGCAGGCGCAGCACTTTGCAGCACGTCTCACTGGAGGCGTTGTTTGAAAGGCGCTCAAAACATTGTGTAGGGGTCCCTGAGACACCCACTTCATGATGCGCCCAACCCCTCAGTCGCACCCCCTGTCTTGCTCAACAATTTCCTAGGTGAGGAAGGTTCGAGTTTCGAGGTATCATTAAACTGTGATCTATCTATCGATCGTATCTTTCTACCTGTGTACCTACCTAATCTATCACCTTTGTTTCTATGTGTATACCTAGCAAACCTTCCCTGCTGCCTTTTATGTATCTAGCTATCGCTTTCTATTTCTCTCCCCATTCTTTTCAACTATAGGTCTTTTCACACGCTTACACAAAAAGCAAGCGCACGAACACGCACGCGCACACACGCGCGCACACGCGCACGCGCACACGCACGCACGCACGCACGCAGTTACACACACACACACACGCGCGCCCACACCCACACGCACACGCACACGCACACGCACACGCACACGCACACGCACACGCACACACACACACACACACACACACACACACACACACACACACACACACACACACACACGCACGCACACACACACCACACGCACGCAGCACGCGCACGCACGCACGCACGCACGCACGCACGCACGCACGCACGCACGCACGCACGCACGCACGCACGCACGCACGCACGCACACGCACACACACACACACACACACACACACACACACACACACACACACACACACACACACACACACACACACACACACACACACGCACGCACGCACGCACGCACGCACGCACGCACGCACGCACGCACGCACGCACCCACACACACACACACACACGCACGCACGCACGCACCCACATCCACACGCACGCGCACACGCACACACACACACAGACACACGCGCACACGCCCACGCACACACCCACACACACACCCACACACACACACACTCACACGAACGCACGCACGCACGCATGCACGCACCCACACACGCACACGCACACGCACACGTCACACGCACACGCACACGCACACGCAGACACACGCACACACACACAGACGCACACACACACACACAGACACACCGACACACACAGACACACATCGACACACACACAGACACACATTGACACACACACAGACACACACGCAGACACACAGGCACACACACACACACACACACGCACGCATGCACGCCCCCCCTCCCCCCCCCACACCACACACCCCACACCACACCCCACACCACACCCCGCACCCCACACACCACACACACACACCACACCGCACACCACACACCAAACATCACACACACACACACACTACACACACGCACACCCGACACACACACACACAATACACAACACACACAACACACAACACACACAATACACAACACACACACACACACAACACACAACACACACACACAACACACAACAAACTCACAACACACACACACACTGTTTGCCACGGATGCTTGGCAGTTGCTTGGGCAGAGTTTGAAGAACGGGAAAAGTTACAAGTTATCGCTAGACTGGTTGATCACAACATACAACCCCAATGTGAACAAGGACATCCTAATTTGCTCATCACTGGCATCCGCTGCGTGAGCTTCTCGTGTAAATGTTTGTTAAAAGCCCAGGCGTCGCAACCGCCGGAAGCTGGGCAGAAACGTTGGCGCGTGGGCGAGTCCACAGGTGTCCTTAGCTCATGTGCGAGCAAAACTCAATCACAGCTGTCATTTCACTCGTTTCACTTTGGTTCTAGTCAAGAACCAGCGGAATTCAAGGAGCTTTCCTTCAATGTACGGGGTTCAAAAAGGAGGTACGTGCGGTACAAGATAAGTACACCAGCATAGATCCCAGATAGATCGCAGGACCATGGCTACGAACCGCAGCATCATAGCGGTTCCCGTGGCACCATGCTGATGTTGACAGCATCATGATGTTGTTGACAGTACCATGCTGATGCGCCAGCCACGGACCGTTCCGCGCTACATTTCGGGCAGGGAAAGGCAGAGACGACGCCCGGATGAGTTCGACAGCATCATGATGATCATGAAACTCAGCACCATGAGATGTTGACAGCATCATGGTGCTACCACACCCGCGAACCCTGACGCAGCATCGCAGTGATTCCAGCAGCACCATGACGCGGCTGACAACATCATGATGATAGAGAGAAAAATACATAGAGAAACAAACAGATAGAAAGATAGATAGAAGATAGAAAGGGTAGATAGATAGATAGATAGACTGATAGATCGATATAGATAGGGATACATCGAGGTGATGCAGGCAGCATCATGATGTTGTAGGCAGCATCGTGGTAGTGTAGACAGCAGCATGCTCACGTCGGCAACACCAAAATGATCATCAATCTCGCAAAGCAGCATACCTTCTAGCACCTTGGCCGTCACAAAAAGGAACTCCTGCGAGTCAAGATGCTGGTCCCCACGAGCACCCCAAACTGCATGCCCAAACAGCACCTCCACCAACACCCGAAACTGCATCCTCCCTAGCGCCCGGCCGCCAATCTCGCACAACAGCACCTCCACCAGCGCGCCAAACTGCATGCCCCCTAGCACACGGCCGTCAATTTTGCAAAACAGCACCTCCACCAGCGAACTGCATGCTCCCCAGCACCCGGCCGTCAATGCTCCCTAGCACCCGGCAGCCCAAACTGCATCAATCTCGCAAACCAGCACCTCCACCAGCCCAACTGCATGCCCCTAGCACCCGGCCGTCGATCTCGCAAAGCAGCACCTCCACCAGCACCTGAAACTGCATGCCCCCCAGCACCCGGCCGTCACCGCTCTCGCAAAACAGCACCCCAAACTGCATGCCTCCTAGCACCCGGCCAATCTCGCAAGACCGCACCTCCTAGGCGTCAAGATGATAGCCCCAAACCGCATGCCCCCAGCATCACACCCATCCTTAAGGAATTTGTGGCCTCAGAACCTGCAAACCACCTTAAATCCTAAGGCAAAACCCTTAAGTACACCCACAAAATCATCTACGCGGCGCCCAAAAAAGCTTAAGTACACCCCCCCCCCTGTATTTAAGGAATTGTGGGTGTACTTAAGGAATTTTGGGGTGCACGAAAGGAATCTGTGGGTGTACAAAAGGAATTTTGGGTGTGCTTCAGGAATTTTGGGGTACTTAAGGAATTTGACCCCTGCACCTAAGATTTTTTGCTCGGGCAAAGAAATCTGCAGTGGCCCACTGGGTTTGTGGAGGTCTGGCTTCTCCGTCTCTGAAGGTGGCCAACATTCTCTGTTCAGTTAGGCCCGCGCACACAGAGTCGATCCTCTCGCAAAACAGCACCTCCACCAGCAGCCTGCCCAGTAGCACCTGGCCGTCACTCTCGCAAAACAGCACCTCCACCAGCATGCAAACTGCATGCCCCCTAGCACCCGGCCCTCAATCTCGCAAATCATTTCCCCCTCTTTATTAGAAGTTGGAACCCCTATAGCTTTCAGCTATCTGGGAGTCATGGGTTTGTTTGCACACACACGCCCTGTTGAACGTTTTTGTTTTTTTTTCGTCGGCGGTGCGTCCGCTTGGGCTGAGGCGGAATCGCTGAAGGCGGAGCAGCGCTCCGAAGGCCTGAGGCTGGCGGAGCAGCAGGGGACCCCAGGGGCGTTGACGGGGCTATGCAGCCGCGCGGTACTTGTAATGTTGACCCCAGATTAATTGACCCCAACTTATGAATAGGGGCGTCCCTGGGTTCAGTGGGGAATCATCACCCCCTAGTCAACTGGAGTTAATCAATATGGGGTCAACATTGGAGGTGTTATTTAAACAAAAGGCAGCCGCCAACTTTTCTTGTGAACACACCTAGATTTTGGGCTCGATCTTTGGTAAGCCCTGGAGTCTCGCGTCTGATTTGGGGGTGTGTTTTTCCAACCTTGGTGGTTGTTCATGGGAACCCGAGATGAAGGTTAACCCCAACTTAATAGGGTGCCCCTGAGTTGAGGGATTCATCGCTTTCGGAGGGGAACAATCCGGGGTCAACATTGGGGAAACCAAAAGAAAAGTTGTTTTTTGAGGTTCCCTAATTTTGAAATAAACCCAGTTGGTGAAAACCCCCCTCTTTCGCCGAGGGCGAACTAGGGATATTTTGTCAATCAGCAAGAGAACGGTGATGCAGTTCTTGGCAGAGTGATTCCGCTCTTGCAAAGGTCTTGCCAGCCTTTACCTATGACGAAACGCTTGGGATCTGGAGGGTCAGTGACAATTCTCTCAGGTTTTTCGACCGGAAAGGCTTCCAATTCGGAGGGCCAGCAAGGCCACACAACTCGTCAATCGACCTGGGTCAGGTAGCCCTTAATTTGTGGCTTTGATTAGTGGTTGGGATTTGGATTTGAACTCCTGGTTCTTGTAGGGCCATGGAGTGTCCATGGCCCTTAAAAATGGGGTCATTGCCCCATTAGTTTGGGGTCATTGCCCAAACTAATGGGGTCATTGACCCATTTTTCAGGGTCATGGAGACTCCAGGTAGAGGGAACACGGGTCACTTCTCCTGAACCAACGCACCGATTTGGCTCCCGAACCACCCTTTTTGGTGGAAGGCTGAAGAGTGGCTAGAACAGTTCCTTTTTGAGGACCGAATCCATTTGGGGGTTAAGACAAACCCATACCGGCACCCCCAACCACTGCCTTTTGGGACAGTGAGATTTTGGACACTGCGGTTTGGGGTGCTGGTACAGGCCCAAATTTGTTTTGGCCCCTTGTGGGTGAACTTTGAAAGCGAACACCTATCAAATGGGGCACTTAAGAAGGTGTCGCGGCATAGAGCCCCCATTCAACCAATGAGACCCACCTCCCCTCAAGCTTGCCAGCTCGCACCTTCCGGCGCTGAGGGCCCTGAGCACCTTCCGGCAATGCGGCGACACCAGGGGGCCGGGGACCAGATCGAAAGCCCCGCCTCGGTTCGATGTTTGGCAATGTTTGGCGAAAACCTCGGAGTCACCTGGAACCCCCAACAAACCGGGCGCCCCACTCGACCCAAGAAAAGGGGGAGACTTTTC